CGCTCCTTCTCCTTCGTGAAGACCCTCTCAGCAGGCAAAGTTCTTTGGTAATCCCTACATGGGCATAGCAGGACTCAGGTGATTCAGACTTAGAGGAGGCTAGCCTCCATCCCTTTTCAGACCTCATACTCACGAGATGAGGGCACACTGGTGACACTTGCAGGGCTCCAGCGGGCGGCAGCACGTGTGCTTGCTTAATTGGGTAGGGACGCAGTCCCTGTGGCAGGAGGCACCCGGGTTTCTGGGTCTTCTGGGGGCAAGCTCAGTCCCCTTTGAGTGGCTGCCCTCTATTTCTGTGGTGGACTTAGAGGGGCGTCCAAGCACACTAGGCAATTGATTGAATTTCATGATTCTAGGACCAGGAACAAAAGTGAGAATGACCACGTGAGGCAAGCCCCTGCCTTATCCCTCTGATGGGGGCTGGATACTTTTTCTTCCTCAGGTTCACCACTGGGCTGATATTTCACCTTCCGTTCTCCCCCTGTAGCTTTCTCCAACACTCACCCTCACCTCCTCCTTCAGGTAGCCTCCTTCCTGGGAAACCCTACCCAGGCAGTCTCCTTCCGAGAAACTTTTGACAAGGACCCGCCTGGCTTCAATGTGGAAGTATCATCTGTAGCTTACTGTCAGTTCACACACATCCCATTTCCAACACACATGCACTCTAATGGCCCCTTCGGTGATTACTATGCATCCCTTCTCCTGAATCATCCTGCACCCTGCTAAACCCTATTGCTAGTCCTGGCATCTCTGTCAACAATCGTGCTCCTAAACTTCTGCATCTATGCCCTGCTTCTACAGGATCCCACACTCCCTCACTATGAGTTGGAATTGACTGGTCGGCAGTGGGTTTGGTCAGGGGTTTTGACACTCACTTCTGTGACTAAGGGCCCCTGGTGGCGCTGCCAGGTAAGCTTCGGACTGCTAACCCGTGGCTTCAGGGAACCTCTCTGGGGCGGCTAAGGGTCTGAATCCCCTTGGAGGCAGGGGGCTGTTTGTTTCTGCTTTTGTATGCCCCACGTTCAAATTTCCCTTCACGTTCCCTTCTGAATTCATTTTCTAGGGGCCCACCTGATACAGGGTTTCCCTACACCGCTGTGGTCCGTGGCCTTGGGGCTGTCTTTTTTCCCCTCCCCCCTCCCTGGGTGCAGCTGGTGTATGTGAACCGCTGCCAACCTTGTGGTTCTCATCCCAAGGCTTGTGCGGCTGCCCCACCGGGTTCTTTGAGTCTTAATTATTTTCTTGCAGCCTCGTTAAGCCAACGGGCCCCTTGTCCTTCGTTGCGTCGTGTTATTCTCCTGGGACCCCATGCCCTCTGGCAGTCATGATTTTCATTCACCCCTTCATTCATTCCCTGGATTATTCCCTCCACCAGACGCTTGCTGAATAGTCCTATCATGTGCAGGGCACTGATGTAGCCCTAATTGTTCCCTCGTGCTAATATGCCCTGTCTCTTTTCCTGCCAACCTGTGCGTTTCCCCCAGAGCCTCTCCACAACAGCCCAAGCTCCCTGCTGCACTTCCACAATTATGCCTCCGCCCCGCCCCCTCCCCCCAGACCCTAGGCGGGAGAGCACCTTCCCCCCTCCCCCAACAAGCCCAGTCATTCCCCGCTGTTCCCTCCTCAGAAACACGGGGAGGGGTCCGCGGGGTGGGCAGAGGAGGGGTAAGAAACCCCCCACAGAAGGTCCCGCGGGGGAAGCGCGGGGAGCCTCAGGAGCGCAAAGGCGGCGGCTCCGCGGAGCTGAGATGAAGCCGGGGAAAGGGCTCATTCGCCCTGGGAGCGCGAGGGCGGAAGGGGGGGGAGAGGACGCCTGGAGAACCGGCCACACTCCCGTCGCCGACCTCGCTTTACCCTATCCTCCAGCAGTTCGGAAACAAGCAGCAAGGACCACGGCAGAGCAGCAACGAGCGGCGGAGCCCGAGCGAGCGCAGCGCACGGGGACTCGGCTGGAGAGCTTTTCCTGCCCCTTTTCGAGCGGGCCAATGAGCGCTCGGCGCCGCCTTCCCGCCTCCCACCGCCGCCAGCGGCGACCAATGAGCTTCCGCAGCCGCCGAAACTGCCAAGCTACAGCCAAGTCAGCCCCGAGGTGAACGCGCGCCTCCGGCCCTCGGGGCGCATTCCCCGTGGACGGCTCCCGCCGCGAACGGCCCTGAACGCGGCCGCCGGCGTGCACGCGAGCGTACCCCCCGCGCTGCTGTTCGCTCCCGCCCTCCCCTACGCGCCAGCTCGCGGTTTCCAGATCGGCGCGACTGCGCCGGGCAGGGACTCCCAGACGGGAACGCGTGTGCACCCCGCGGGAAAACGCCAGCCGCTCTTTGGAGAGCGGGGCTTTCTACTCCAGAAAAGAGTTACCTTCGCGGACCCTCCCTCGCAGGGGCACGTCACCCCGTCCCAGAGGCGGCCCTCCAGCTTGGCCCGTCTTACCTCTCCCGTGCGAGCGCGCGAATCCCTGCCCCCCGAGATTGCTCTCGAGCAAATATCAGAAACGATTTTCTTTCATTTGTAAACATTTCAGTGTGTCTCCATCTCTATCATGTAAAGAAGCCGCTTTCCTCAGCTTGGAAAATGCACAAAGTTGAAAGGCATTCGTTTACCTAGATTCGCACTCTCGTATCGCTGCTTCTCTTGCTTAGCCGTAAGTGCTCGCCTGCTCACGGAAAGGCTTGCCGTTCAGACGCACCACCACTCCCTCCCCCCTCCCCGGAAGAGAGACGCGACCGTCTGCTTCCCTGGAGATTCAGTCTTCAAAAATGAATGAAGACCCAAGCCACGGCCATCCTTGGAAACCCTACGGGGAGGCTCTACTCTGTCCTGTCGGGTCGCCACGAGTGTGCAGTCACTCGGTAGCAACTGGGTCTAACCGCTTGGTAGTTCTCTGCAAACATCGGGCCACTTCACCGGTGCAGTGATGTCAGCCCACGTCTCCTATGAAGGAGGATGCCCTGCTGTACAGCCACACTGATAGTAGACCGCACGGAAGACATTTCGCAGTGATGCACGACTATTGTCTATGCCCACATTCAAATCTCTCGAATGCCTCGGGGTGCGTTTTTTGATTCAGAATTCCGCAAATTAACAGACAAGCTCACGCCACTTGGCTGTCATGTCCCCTAGTCCAGTACCGCCCCGCAGCCATTCTTTGAAATTCAGGTCTTGCTTCAGTGAGCCCAGACCACTTGTCCTTTCACACGCTCCAAAATAGGGCTTTCCCCCCAAATGTTCCTCTTGCTTAGCTTTCGGCTTAGCACTTTCTGGGGGCAGGAATATGAATTAGGTGATGAGTAGTCCCCATTACAGTAGGTCTGGCGGCTTAGCATATCAGTTTGTCTAGGTGCGGGAATTGCTCTTGGTGAAATGCTAAGACTTTGGTCACTTATTTAAGGTGTAATTTGAAAAATGCGCAGAGGTGAAAGGGGAAGAGTCTTATTGCTCTCTCTTTCCTTCTTGCTCTCTCACTCTCTCTCTCCTTAGCCAGTTAATAAGGGGCCATAGATTCCACCACAGATTACTGCGCTGTTTGGGTGCCTTTTCCCCTCTGTGGTTAATAAGTGTTCTGCAGCAGGAGGCTTGGATAACGCATGGTGTCCATTTCTGCGCCAAACTTTCACTACTCGCTGCCATTCTGCTTTCAGTGTTCTTGCCTGAATGGATAACTACTTTGAAGGTTCAAAACTGTGGCTCATCGATGATGTCGTTCGTTTCTCCTTTTAGTAGGGGGCATTTTGTGGTAAAGAAGATTTGCTCAGAATCCTCCCCCTCATTGTTGTTACTGTTTTCTTTTCAGAAAGAGGAGGACAGAAAACCCTTTCTTCGTTGTGTTCTAAGAAATAGAGAGAGAATATTCACAGCAGTTTAGGGAAATGTATGATGAACTTGATAAGAATACGTACACGGACATTCCAAGCACAATGATAAAATAAATCAGTTGTCTGATACTTGAATTGTGAAAACCCCCCAAAAAAGCGGTTTCTAATGATCATTTTTAGAGGATCTGAGCTTGTAAATTAGTCCAGCTATAAGATGGCTTGGATTCTTCGGCGCGGGCGCCCGCGCGCGCGCACACACGAATGAAACCTTGACATGGAGACAGACACAAAGTGTTCTTACAGTTATGGAAATTGTTTGGGAAAGTGTAAAACCACCATAAACAATATTTTTCAAAAATAAAAATACCTCCAACTATTTCACCAAGCAACTGCCCATGCAACATCACCCAGAAATTGATTCCAAATATGAAAATTCCAAGTGAATTGTGGCACACGAGAGGCATTGTCCAACTGCGACTTCAGGTGTATATTTGTCTCAAAGACATTTCCAATTACAGGCTCTTTGTAGCCGAAATTAAAATGAAACTTGTGCCACAGATATTTTTTAGTCATTAATATCTTAACAAAAAGGTTTTGAGGTACTGACAAAATTTAGTTTGTGTCATGAATACTGTGCCTTTTTCCTTTTAGGTCAAAAGCATGACTTGCTTGAATTTTAATACACAAGTTTTGTATTTCTCTAATTTCCTTTTTTGTACCGTATGATTCATATGAGAACACGTGTGGTTCGTTTTCTGAAGCAGACGATTTGAGACACGCCCAGAAGACAGTGAAGTGGTCCAGTTATAATACGAGGGGCTTCGCAAAGCCCGTGGAAGTTTGGAACGGAACGATAATGGAACGTTTCACCAGACTTTTTGAAGCTCCCTCATACATGCAAGCACGGTGCACCATTGTGGGAGTTGCACTTTCCTATAGAAGTCTGCCAGTCTGTTGATCTTTACAAAGGACCTCCTTCCAGTTTCACTGATTTTTCTGCTTTCAGTGGCATTGATTTCTGAAGTTGCCTTCAGGCCTCCCTTCCTTTGGGTGGGTTTTTCTAGTTTCCCAAAGTAGAAGCTTACATCATTGATTTTGATTTTTTTAAAAGCCCGGTGCTACGTATTTCCCTTTCACCCACAAAATTATCTATGTTTTATACTGGTTTCCATTACATTCAATTCCTTTCTTGATGTCATGTCCTTAAGGACGCCGCCTTTGACCTATGAACTGTGTAGCCTCCTGACTGCCAGGTGGCCTTGAAAGTCCCAACTCTCCACTGGGCCTTTTCTGACACCACCAGGCAGGGATGGAGGAGAGGGGGACTAGCCTTCCTGCTTCTTAAGGAGAGAACTCTGGGATCCCCACTGACCTTGGACGGGTGGCCTCATGATTACCAGTCCCTTAGGAATACTTAACTCAACTCTGGGATTTTACTGGACTGGGTAGGGCTAGTACCAAAGTTTTGGTTTTACTTTTCCAATTATGTTTGGGTTCAGTAGAGCAGATACTGGATAAAAGTTTTTGGCATTGCTAAGCTGTGCCTTTCCTGATCATTTGTCTCGAGGTAGTAGGCACTTAATTGGCGCTTTTATTTTCTCTTTTTTTATTTGGCCTGTACCTGGTGGCACTTCTGGATCACTAGCTTCTTTGACTCCAAGTCTGGCTTACATGAGGCATCAAGGAAACACAGAGAACTCATAACCATTATGTCCCTAGGTCCCAGGTCTGTCTGACTTCTTATGTTTAGCATTCACTCTTCATATGTTTCCCACGTGCGCTCGCCATGTGCCAGTGTGTGTGTGTGTGTGTGTGTGTGTGTGTG